ATGACAAAAAAAAAAACAGAGATATGCAAATTTAAAAAATTATTGTAAAATGTGATAGTTATTTTGTAGTCTTTAAGAACTTGCCTAACATTGATTTTTTACAAAAAAGGAAAATTTTCCCCTAAATTAAAATTGAAAATGAAACACATGAAGGACAATGACTACTCTATTTAGGTTTTAGTTATTTGCCTAAGAAAAGTTGTCATTCAGTTCTTAAGTAGTCATTATCGTCAATGTATACATGTTTATAATTGGACGGATATAATTTTTTTTAACTCACCAAGCTCTCTCTGTTTTTTTTTTTTTTAGAATGATGAATTAGTTATCGATATTTTATGTTGTGGTCTAGAAAAATTATCAAGCATAGCACGTTTTTTTCCAGCATTTGGCTTTATCTTATTGGTTCCTGGGGAGACATACCAACTTGTATATGACTTGCTTTGTTTTGATTTGTTTATGGGAAATTTTCACTGTAGGCCCATGAACTAGAGATAATAAAAAGGAGAACTCTTGAATTTTTGAAACTTCACTGAAAATTTATAGTACTGAATTGAAATTAAAATTACCTGAGGCATGACAATATTGTCCCAATTACAACAATTTCACTCAAATTGATTCCAAGTGTTGCACTTCAATTTGTTGTTTATTGCCCTATTTTATTTGTTCATTACAACACTTTCACTTGAATTGATTCCAAGTGTTGTGCTTCAAATTGTTGTTCATTGTTCTACTTTACTTGTTCATTACAACACTTTCACTTAAATTAATTCCAAGTGTTGCTTGCATGTTAACACGACTTGTTCGTGTGACTATTGTATGTGGTTCATTATCTTTCAGATTATTGTTCATTACTCTACTTTACTTGTTTATAGCTTTACATATTTATAGTTTGTTTTTTCTTGTCAAATTTCATTTCTATTTCAATAGGGACAATCTCATCATTTCCCGGAGAATTTTAATTTCAATTCAGTACTATAGACTTGCAATTAAGTTTAGAAATTTAGGGGTTCTTTTTTTTAAATTATCTCTGGTCCAAAGATCTTCAGAGAAATTTTCCCTCAACAGTCCCCCTCTAGTTTATTGGGACTAAAATAAATTTAAAGTTCCTAGTGCTGAGCGATCTTTGGCATGATCCTTTCTTCCTACGGCTTTGGTTATAATATCAGCTTGCTCATAATTTGAAGAAATTAAACATGATTTAAATCAATCAATCCATGTATTAATTTTGTTACAAAATGACAATCGATCTCTATACTTTAAATATGCTTCTGCAACTGATCTGGAGACAATGCTTTAATTTGCTTGTTTGATTTCCATGAAACCAGACCTCCACCAAGCTTGACAATACACATTTATCTACCCTTAACCACAACACTTCTTCTCTAAAAATGAGAGGATCAATTTGTTCTTGTGCTATAATAATTTAAGTGTCATTTAAGCTCTCTTAAATTAAACAATGAGTTTAGTTGATATGCGCAAATGTCCTTAATTGAAACTTAGGATTTTATAAATAAAATCCATTTATAATTCTACATGATCAGTCTTTTACAGTAATAATACAAGCAGCAGAATCTCCACAATGCGTTTGGCTTTCAAGCACACAAGAATTGCACTACAAAAGCGCACCTAGGACCCTAGAGGAGAAAAAATTGTCCTTAGGGCCCAATGCAGTCTAAAATTATTCTACAAGCTCGAGGGCCCTTTTTGAAAATATGTTTTAGGGAAAAAAAAACACAATTGCTCTTAGTAAGAAAAGAAAATGAGTAAAAGTTCAAAGTTTTACAAGATTTTCATATATTCACAACTCTAGGATTAGATATTAAAAAGAAATTGTCTATTAGTAGTGAAATTCTTATTTAGAGTTGACAAGTTTGTGTTGGCCTTACTCACAAATTTGCAACTTAAAGTTTGAATATTTATAAGTACAAGTTTATATTTTTACAAATCAAAGTCTAGATTTTATGATTTCATCTATTTAAAATTAAAGTTTATCGTGACAGCAAGTTCAGATTTTTTACAACTAGATATTTGCAAATTCACAATTTTATATTCACATATTAACAAGTAGTTGTCCATTAATAATGAACCTAAAGTTCTTTCTTTCTCACTAGGGACAATTGTGTCTTTTTCCTTAAAACATATTTGCAAAAAAAAAAAAAACCTTTGAGCCTGCATTGGGCCTTACTTGCAATTTTTTGTCCTTTGTGAGCCCTAGGTCGATTTTCCATTTATTTATGCCCTTACAAACGCACGCGCACATAATGCCGGGCTTCATTATTGCTTCCAAGTTCCATCGATCGAGCTGCTTCATATAGCATAATCAAGTTTCAGAATGTTCTTGTTGGTTGGGTAATAAGCAAAGCAATTGAAGTTGCATACATCAAAAGGATAACCAGTGTTTCTTTCGATGTAGATGTAACCATTGTCTCCCCAATCTTTACTCCATGAGTTGTTCACAATCCAATAATCAAGACCAGCACCAAATGAACCACATCCAACAATCAGCATAGCATGATCAACATCCTAGTGTTAAACTTCTAATGAAGAAATTAGTGCATACAGGGATCGATCAAGCCAAATGGTCTCTTGTTTCAAAGATGAAAGTGTTTGTTTATTTATTTTATTTAAGCTATTTATCTCCAATCTTGTTTTAGGGTTAATGAGCATCTTAGACTTTAAATTATTGCAGAAATATCATTTTAAACCTTGAGATCTTAAAATGTGTGAAAATCCTCTCAACTTTTAAATTTCAAATACCTAAACACCACACTTACGTTGGAGAAAACAGCTATTATTTTTAAGGGTCAAAATGAGTGCCATATCAACATATAATTAGGCCCGACCACTACAAAAGTAACGGTCATTTTTTTAAAACTTAACAATAAGGTTTTAGGCCCTTAGAATTTCAAAGTTAAGAGGAATTTTTGCACATTTCAAGACTTTAAGGTTCATGATACTATTTAAACAATAGTTTAGGGTTTAGGATGATAATTTTTTTTTAATTTATGAGATATGTATTTAAACCATGTTTAGGGTACTTAAATATCCTTAATTAGTTAATATACTTTTTTTCTGATAAAATCAATACAAATGAATTTTAAAGTATTAATAATATCAATAACAAAAGCTTTTTAAAAAATAAATAACATTCACATATCTTGATTTAATTAAAAATAAACATTTTAAGTATATAAAATTAAGTACATAAGTTATTTATTTTAGTAATTGCCCAACAAAACATAATGCCCTTTTATTTCCATGATCTTACAGTGGAATTTTTGAATCATTTGGTCCTTGACTATAAAATTCTCTCTACTCTGGTCCTTTATTAAATTTCTCCCAAATATAATTGAAAAGAACCTTTGAGCTCTCTGATCTTTCATGGAGACTAAGATGCCGTCAACCCGTTACACAGGACAGCCCTGCTCGTTGCTTACAAGTCTCCACCAGCACCTATGTTAATTATTATTTATTTATGATTTCAAAACCATTTTTTGTTTCAAGAATTTGCAAACGGATGCTAAATATTTCGTAGATTTCAAAGGAGCTTAATGGGATGTGCAAAAATAAACTGAATATTACGCTTTCTTGACCCATAGGAGTTTGGGTACGACATTTTGGATTCTCGTATAGGCCCTTTACAATGGAATAATCTCTCAAGAAAATAAACTAAAAATTACAATACCCAAGAGATTTTTACTCTCGGCCCAATACAAGTGGCCTGGCCTAATAACTTGTATCTCATATATCAATTATTTTATTTTTGTATCTCTATGTTGATGGATGGGCTCAGTGTGTTGTATGAATGAAGTTTTGTATTTAATAGACGATGTCCCCGAAGGAATTTATATTTAATATTAAATATTAATATGCTTTTGCTACCGAAAAAAGAATTATATATTATTATCCCATGAACTATGGTGGGCCGGGGGGCAAGGATAAATATTTAAAGCTTGAAATACAAGAGATAATTCATAGGATCTTGATTTCCCAAATATAATTGAAGACACAGAACCTTTGAGCTCTCTGATCTTGGATATTACTAAGGTTTTAAAAACCGAATTGAATTGGCTGGTTCAACCATGAACCGATCACCAGTCTAGTTTGGTTGGGTCAAGTAAATCGGGGGACAATTGAACCGGTCAATAGCATGTGAACCGGTGAAAGAACTGGAAAAATTGAAAAAAATGACAGTTCAAACAAGTTAACTAGTTTCATGTTATATTAATTTTTTTCCTGCTCCTCCAGCTCAAAACAATGTAGTTTTGAGTTTTTTTTTTTTATAATTATTGGATGACCAAAACAAGGACCACCAGCGATTGCCCTAGCCCAATTGCCCGACCGAGATGAATCATTATTCATTATTCATTTTAGTTTTCCATTCTAGTTCTAGACTTCCAATTTGGCATCTTCCCTTCGTCCTCTTCATCTCTTCGATGCACAACCACACGCATTTGTCAATGAGATTTTCTTCATTTCGACGGACGGTGAATGTATCTTTGAGCTCGACACCCTCGTTGAACACTAAGGTCGAGTCTGATCTGATCATCTGAAGTTGAATGTATCTCCGAGCTTGGCACCCTCGTCGAATATATCTCTGAGCTGTTCATTTCTTCATTTCTGAAGTCTGATTTGGGTTCTCCACTTCTCCTTCAGTCCGTCTTCATCTCTCCACCCAAGGTCAAGTACTTAGGTCATCAAGTCTGAATCCATGCTTTCCAAGTTCAACTTGTCTTCATCTCTAAGTCAGTGAGTCAACACTCTCCAGGTCCAACTTGCCTGAATTTGTCTAAAATGGTTACTTAAATCTTAAATTGCATGTTTATTCTTTCATTTTTGTGATTGTCTAAAATTGTTACTTGCATATCCTGAATTCATTTTTGTTACTTAAATCCTGAGTTGCCTTTTACAGAGTCCTTGCTTCCATTTTTATGGTTGATTATTTTTATCTAGTGATTTTAATTTCTGTTTGTTTGAATTTAAAGTTTTGATTTAAGCTCATGGATGCTGGTGGCCTTGAAAATAATAACACTCCCACACCTACGCACACTCCCACACCAACTCTTATACCTGTGTCAAATACCCCCTCCACTCACAATGTTAATGCTACTGGAAGGACTGATATTGGTAGTTCATCAGAGAAACAATCAATAATTGGCTCTACTCATGAGAAGACTAATCCTGCCTGGGAACATTTAGCCTTAAGAAAAGAAGGGGATACAGCTATTTATACATGCTTGCATTGTTCAAATGAATATAGAGGGGGTGGCATAAATAGATTGAAGCAGCATCTAGCTGGGGTAAGTGGTCAAGTTGTTTCTTGTAAAAAAGTTCCTCATGATGTACACCATCGAATGATCCAGTCTTTAAGGGAGGTTTAAATAAAAAAGAAAATTGGATGATTTGAGGAAAATTATGGTGATATTGACGACTTACAAGAAGTAGTTGATGCTGGTTCAAATCTTCCTTCATATACAGCTCCTCCGGCTAAAGATAAAAGGAAGGCTTCTACAAGTGCTGCAAAGAGACAAGCTTTTGGTGCAGCTGGCAATTACTTTGCCCCAAGAACAACTCCTGGTGCACAACCAAGTATTAAAAGTGTTTTGTCTACTAAAGAAGCACAGCACAAAGCAAAGATTACTATTTCTGAGTGGTTTGTTGTCAATTGCATTCCTTTCAATACATTGAATTGTCCATTCTTTTAAAAAGCTATAGATGTAATTGCTGCTATAAGACTTGGATTCAAAGGCCCTACTGCTTATGATATGAGAGTGAATTTGTTAGGGGATTTGAAATAAGAATGTCATTTAATTGTTGATGCTCATCGACGCAGATGGGAAAGTAATGGTTGTACATTAATGGCTGATGGTTAGACTGATGTTAGGCAGCATACATTAATAAACTTTTAGTTCATTGTACGAAAGATATAGTGTTTGTGAAGTTTATTGATGCTTTAGAGCTAGTCAAAGATGCCAAGACATTATTTCAGCTGTTTAGTAAAGTGATAGAGTGGATTAGCCCTAAAAATATTGTTCATGTGGTGACTAATAATGCAGCCAATTATGTAGCATGTGGTCAACTGATTCATGAGAAATATAGGCATATTTATTGGTCATCGTGTGCTGCACATTGCTTGAATCTCATCTTAAAGGACATTGCAAGTTTGCCTCATGTGTCAGACCTTGCATCCAAGGCATCAAAGATTACCATTTTTGTGTATAATCATACTGTCTTTTTGTTATGGCTTAGAAAAAGACAAGGCTGGAGGGAGATTGTGCGTCCAAGAGCAACTAGATTTGCTTCCACCTTCATTACTTTACAAAGCATCTATAAGCACAAGAATGACTTGCAAGCTTTGATGGTTGATAGACATTTTATTGATTACAAGTTGTCAAAGACAGTAGCAAGACAAAATTTTGCTAACATTGTCTTGGACAATAGATTTTGGAATGAGTGTTATGACATTATGGTGCTTGTTGGTCCCTTCATTCAGTTGCTAAGAATTGTTGATGGAGATGAAAAGCCTTCTCTTGGCTATGTCTATAAAGGTATGATAAGGGCAAAACATGGAATCAAGAGTTTCTGTAACAACAATCCTTATAAATATAAGCCTTACATATACATCCTTAAAGCTCGATGGGATAAGCACTTGAAGACTAGTCTTCATGCAACAGCATATTTTTTGAATCTGACATTCATGTATAACTCTTCTTTTCATCTCAAAAGAAAGCTCACAGATGATGTACTTGAGTTGCTTGGGGTGTATGGCTCTGATAATTATGTCCAGTTGTGGGAGCAATGAGTTTGTACAAAAATCATGATAGTTCTTTTGCTCGAGATCACTTGGGTCTAGCAGCAAAAAAATCATCACCTTATAAGTTGTATACTTTTCTTACTTTTAATTATTAATTATAATTTGAAATGATAAGTGAAAAAGCTACATTTTTGTTATAGATGAATGGTAGTCGTCTGTTAGAGGTGATGCTCCACAATTGCAACAAGTTGCAATCCGTGTGCTTAGCCAAACTTCATCATCTTTAGGATGTGAGCGTAATTGGAGCTTGTTTGAATGTATTCACACAAAAAGAAGAAACAGATTAGATCGTCAATGCTTAAATGATCTAGTTTTCACTAATTACAACTTGTGGTTGTAGCATAGGTAGTTATCTAAATGATCCAGTTTTAATTTATGTTTAGTTGAAAATTAAATAATATCTAACTTCTTCCTTGTTTACTTAATAGGTCACAGTTGAAGAAGAAAAATTATGATCTTATTGATTATGTATCTATTGATAGACTTGACTTTTGGATAGTTGAAAAAGAACCTGCTCCTAAGTTTAATGAAGCAGATTGTGATGCTCTGCTACATGGAGATAATCCACAACCTGTTACTGCTACTAGGGATGATGAAGGTTATTTGATATGTTATTATCCTATAATTATTTTTGAGAGAAATGATAGTTAAAAGCTTAAGATTGATTTCTCTTATTTATAATAGGTGATGAACGTATGAATGCTACATCTTCTCCACCTTTGTTTGATAATGTTGGATTTGGAGCTCAATCTACATCTGTTGGATTTGGAGCTCAATCTACACCTGTTGGAGTTAGAGGTCAATCTACACCTAAGGGAGTTGGAGTTCAATCTACTCCTGAAGTTGCTATCTCAGATTTTCTTCCTACTACAGTTGCTAATGACTTAGCAATTAAAGAACTTAACTTGAATGAGTTTTATGGTGATGATTGATTTTCTTGGTTTGATGGGTTTCACTTAGGACTTGGGAAGAATGTAATAATTATGGATTAGACTTTTGTGCAAGGATGTTGGATGATTTTCCCTTTGATGTTGCATTGTTATATTTATGGATTTGGCTATTATATTGTGGATTAAACTTATATGCAAGGATGTTGTATGATTTTTCCTTTAATATTGGATTGTTATATTATAGATTTGGCTATTAGATTATGAATTTGATATTAATATTTGTGATCTTTTAATTTTAAATGATGTTTTTATGCTTATATAAGTATTTAATTAATAATTTTTAAATGTATATTATTCAAAATACATTAATTTATTATTGACCGGTTCAACTACGGTTCAATCTCGGTCCAACCATTGAACTGTGAACTACTATCTTGATCGGTTCGATGACCAGTCCGGTTTTTAAAACCTTGGATATTACTCCCTCCATCCCAAATTACTCCCTTCATGCCAAATTTTCTTTTTAATTGAACATGCTAATATGATCTTTTTATGTAAGCATATTCTCCATATCTTATATTGTTTATTAAAATGTTACATATCTAATAATTATTTAAACTCAAATGTTTTTATTTAGTTTAGAGAGTGCAAAATATCAATAATATGGCACAAAGTTACAAAATTTACATACCTTATTTTTAATTTATCCTAAAGTAAGGTGGCGCATTTCTCCCACCCTCACTCAAGCATGGTTTTGCCACTGAATATTATTCATGTGTTACAGGTATGGCATTTATTTATAAATTTATCACTGGTCACGTTTCTTACACTGTTTTCTTTTTAACCTGTATAAAATCATGGTGTAAAATATGTATTTTGTATAGCGGGGTAATTAACTTTGTCTATTGCCCATCATGACTTCGCTTTTTTTTTTTTTTTAACTAGAGATAACATGAACAATATGCAAGCGAATCTCCGCATCATTTGATTTCAAGTTCACAAGTTACAGTACAATAGAACTTTGATTCAAGCGCAAGTGAAATTCCATTTATTTATGCCAAACACACACACACGCACACAAAATACGGGAGCTTCATTATTGATTTTGCATAGCACTTCAAGCTGCTTCGCAGTGCAGAATCAAGCATTAATAATGTTGCATACACCAGAATAATGGCCAGAATTTCTTTTGATGTAGATGTAACCACTGACTTCAAATCCTTTGTCCCATGAGTTCTTCACAATCCAATAAACAAGATCAGCACTAAATGAATCATATCCTACTATCAGCGCATCATGATCAATTTTCCAATGTTCAATGTTCAACGTTTAATGAAGAAATATTGCTCATGATGGATCAAGCCAAATGGATCTCTCCAATTGTTTCAAACATGGAAGTGTTAATTTTATAATTTATAATTTTATTTTTAATTTAAGATATCAGAATGTAAAGAAATAATTTTTTTATTAAAAAATAGTGATTATTCAAATTTTAAACTAATCCAAAGTAGGGTTTCAAAATTTTGCCCTATAATTAGTATTGAAGGGAGTATGTCATGTTGCGATTCTTCAAAACCTTATCATAATATTGGATCCAAGGTTTGCAATTTAAGTCCACACAATTTTTTTGTTTTTTTTTTTTTTTGTTTTGGCTAAACCATACAAATTTTTTATTACTATAAAATTATTTAGGTGGTCCATCACTCTTAGGTGGTCCATTATTCCATTTTTGGAAGAACCCAACGTTTTCCATATTTTAAGAAATCTCAAGTGGTCATAGATTATGGGGCAGGTTCTTTCTTTTTTATTTTTTATTTTTGAATTAGAGGGGTATACACTATAACACAATTAGGTTATCAGTGGGATTCGTCCTCCCACTTATAAATGAGTTTATATGCTACTAGACTATGAGGTCATTGACAAAGAAATAAGTTCTAAATTCCAAAATTATGAATTTCAAGTTCTTTATGTGTTTTATATGAAAGTACAGCATGCATTATACATGAATTTATTAAACAGCTTATTTATGTATTGGAAAATGACAAACAAATACTCTAAAATAAAAAAATGACAATTAAGTACAGTAAAATATGATAATTATTATTTAGTCTCTAGAGACTTGTTTGACATGTTATTTTTGATGAAATGACATATTTGTCCTTAGTGACTATAATAGGAAATCACTACTTTGATTGTCTTATAGTAACTAAAACAGAATAGAGAATGACTACTTTCTTTTTGCAAATTTGTTCATCAATTAAGTGCAACTAAAGTAGCCATTTTCATAAAGAAAATAGTCATCTTTAGAAAGAAAGTAATCATTATTTAATCCGTTCATAAATTACAAATTTGTAGAAATAAAGTTGTCATTTTCTATTCTATTTTAGTTGATAAATCCAACTAAATTAGTCATTTACTATAATAGTCACTAAAGGCAAATATGTCATTTCATCAAAAATCAAAGTATCAAATAAGCCCCTAGGAACTAAGTAATACTTACCACATCTCGCGGTACTTAATTGTCAGTTGCATATTTTAGAGGTATTTTTTTTAATCATTCTCCCAATTATTTATCATCTTGTATTAAAAAAAAAATACAAACCAATCAGTCGACGTAAACACCCAGTTTGTAGGGCATTGTAATATGTCTATCCTCATCTCTGTTACGTACTTTGTCAAAATTTGATTTTCCTTGTAACAATTTAAAATACTTGCCAATTTTGAGGAAAACACACACACTAACCACCTTATTCACAAAGCCATAAGAAGAGTAATTTGCTTCTTTAGGCACCGAACCATGTGTGAGGCTTAAGATCATAATAATGAATATATCTTACACGTAAACATGACAGTAAAAATCATAAATTAAGGAGAAGCTAATAACCTATTGAAATTAATGTCAATTCAGCGCATTTTTTTACACTTTATGTGCTGAATTAGATCAATTGTGAATATTTTAGGTTTAAATATAAGAAAATGAGCGTTATTCCAAATTGACATAGAAAATAGAATTTATTGAGAATTTTGCAAAGTTTCTTACTTTGATTTTGGTGCACACAAAATGTTTCACCGCAAGTGTACAGGTCAAAGTGCAATATAATAATGCGTCAAGGTCGATCCCACAAGGAATCAAGCAAAATAGCAATTAGATAATAAATTTCTCATTTTTATTTACGTTAAGCAAAACCAATTAGAAGTGATTGATTAAACAAAAATTAAAAAAGTGAAATGAATAAAATGCAATGAGATTCAACAACCGCAAATGTCCAATGCAACCTAAAGTCACTAATCCCTTGCTAGCTTCATAGATCTTGCTTTTTACCCAATTAATTAATTTTAATGCTAATTTTGTTAATCTAGAGCATTAATGGATATAAAGGTCTTTCGAACCTCAGATAACCCTCTCTCAAATTAATTATGTTATTTCTAACAAAATTATTCAAGAGGCAACTTTAATTCCAACTCACTCTAATTTGATTATATGAGGCAATTAGGTATATTTCTATCCTAATTACAAATTAGATCATAGTCTAATTTCATATTACTCAATCTAAAGGTCCAAATGAGATTTTTCTTTGTCAAGGAAAAACCCCAACACCTAAATTCATATTTAATGATGGCCAAACATTAAATAAATAAATTAATGCAAGATTGAGCAACAAAATTAATATTAAGCATAACTAATGGGTAAAAACAAGCTCTAATCCACTAACAAGTTCATAGTTACTCTAGGTCAAATATGTTCGGCCACTAATAACCATTAAAACAGCATGAAGCAATAATATTCAGTAAAAGATACATCAAAATGTAGAGAAAAGGGAGAAGAAATCTTAGGAAGGATGATTTCTGTCACAAATTGCAAGACCCAAGTGTTCCCTAAGCTTTTCCAACTCTTTCTCCACCTTAGAATGCTCCCTGGACGTGCAGTTGTTGGTTGAAGACGAACTGGAACTGATATGAGGTGCCTCAAGCCCTAAAAATTCATTGAGAGTTAAAATTGTACGTTTCATTAAAATTGCGCTTTACTGCAGCAAAACCTGTTTTTGCTGTAGTAAATATGACCTGTTCAGATTTTCTTTTTAGATTTAATTTCTTTGACTTGGGCTCCAAAATTATCTTCTTTGGGCCTCTAAATTGAGCCTCCCTACAGGCATAAAATCCAAAATAAATGATAGAATTGGTCCACTAACTTCTAACATATTTCCAAGCCCATTTTCACATATATTCATCTATTTAATCATATTTTTGGTAACAAAATTTCAATAAATGACTTCCAATTATATTAAAAATACTAACAAATTCAATAAAATATTGAAAGTCATCAAACCCCCACACTTGAATGTTTACTTGTCCTCAAGCAAAAAAAAACAACTATATAAAAATGGAAAAAGGAAATGTAAATATTTTAAGGTTAAATATAATTCAAACTTTCAAGGACTCAATTTAATTACAAATCTTTCCTGCCTTCCAAAAATAATAGTAGCAAGGCACTTAATTAAGGAAAGATAAATTTCAATAGATTATCCCTCACCAGTCAAATATTTTCACTCTACGATCAAGGTGTCTAAGGGTTGTGTTTCACTCACTTCCACCTATTGTAACCCATCTACCGTATTCTTGTTTCTTATCTTAATCTCTACTAAATTATGCCATTACACACACAAATAAAAAGGACTTTTGAAAGGTTGTAATGTTCTAGGTAGGATAATAAAATGAAATTATTCAATAGGTAAACATTATATTCTCCAATTAGTGTAAAGCATATGAAATGAAGATCATGAAAATTGAAGGATAAACTGCAACTATTTACAAGAGGTATCAATGAATATAAACACCCTTTTTTTTCACTTAATTTTTTTTCTAAACTTTCTATATTCTCTTCTCTTCTTTCTTCATCTTCTTTTATTTTGTTTCCTCTTTCTTTTTCTTTTGAACCACTTATCAAATCCCAACTAAATTCTAAGTCCTTCATTTTCTTTTATGGATATAACACTTAGCACTAACCAAAGTGGTAAATGGGAATAAAAATGAATGAAAAGTGG